TATATCGATGCGACCTTATGCCAGAAAATTGCGTGTAATGAGAGTCGCGCCAAGTAGTATCAATATCGCGGCAACTGACACACGAAATGTTTTTGATGGTGTTTACCTTTAGGAAAAACACGTTATGAAGTGACTTCTCGTGGGGCTGCTATAGCTTCCTTTCCTTGCCGGGGTAGACCCCGCCTCTGTAAATGCAGTGATGCTTAGTTCTGCCTCATACGCCGACCTAACTCCGAGACCGTATCTCTCACCCGATCGCCATTATACAGTGAATACTACTGACGGATGATGCTAATGCTGCAGTTCGAGGTCGATCTTCTCCCCTGTACGCTTAGGTGGTCGTTGGTGCGCCCCCAACATGCACAATTACTGGCTCTGGTGCCGTGTGTAGCAGCCCCCCCCCCCTCCCCCTTCCCTACTTGGCTGGCCTATTGGCGCCTATACTGGCCGCCTCCCGCTTGGCTTCAGGAGGAGGCGTGATCAAGGTACAGAATTCCGCGGATACGGTGGCCTGCGACGGCTAATAAGATGTAATGGAACACGGCCACGCTGCGCTCCGTGCCCCGCCCTGCCCCGTCCCGCCCCGCCGCGCCACGCCGCGCAACGTGAGCTTTGAAGCTGGAGCGGTCCTGGAGGCGCGCTCGGATCAGTTTCAACGCCAACTGTACAGCGCCACGCCGCACCACGCCGCGGCGCTTTCGCTTTGTGCGACACATGTGTGTGCACACCTACACCGCCGCCCTGCCCTAACGGGCGGCGTACACTGTCGTGGAAAACGAGTGGGAACACAGAAAAGAAAAAATGTCTTTGAATTTCAAGACCACGGTCTTGGATGTTATGTAGAGCACCATTGACATCCGAGATCGGTCATAGAATCATTACGAAACTTTTTTCACTGTAAAGTAAGGATAAGAGCTAGCAGGTTTTTTGACGTATGTGTTTTCTTGTGTGTTGCAGGTATGGAACCAATGTCTACCAGGATCCAACCACGATGGAGTGAGTACAGTTTGTAGGGAGTTGCCATCATCTGTGATGTTGTGGTTTATTAGGTACTGTAAGGTGCTAGACAAGGGCTTGGTAAAAATAGTTTCTTGTATTACAAGACTTGGTCTTGGATGCCGTCGGCGTTCTCCATAAGATCCATGACCGGGTCTTGTAATACAAGAAACTTCTTTCGCCGTGCGTTCCGCAGCGAGACTCAAGACTCAAGTCGCCCAACTTGAGTTCAGGCTGAAAGTCACCCGCGGAACACACACTGTGTTCGCACACATCCGGTTTGCTCGTGCCGGATCCGTTTTTCGCCCGCGTGTCGCTCGTCGTGGTGTCCCCCACGGGCCACGCCCGGACACTGCGCTGGTCCCACGCGGCTCTGCCCCGGCTCTCCCGCGGGCTAGGAAACCGTGAGCGCCCCCGCCAAGCCTCGCAGCGGCACGCCGCGCCACGGCGGGCCCCGGCCGGGGCCGGGGGCCGGCGAGCAAATTAAAACAATCGGAGGCGTGACGGGGCAGAGGGAGGGGAGCCTGGAAAAATAAACAGAACGGGCCGCGCGCTGATAAAGCTTCGGTGGAAGGTGTCTCCCCACCGCGGGGGACACTTATCTCCGGATACATTCATCAAATCGCCAATATTGTGAGCTTTCTTTTTGTTGTCTGTTTTCCACTTTTTTTCGTGACGCGCCTAGCTCACTGAGGCGCCTGGGCGGCCGAGGGTAGGCAGTCCCGCCGCGCACGGCTGCCGCGCGGGACAGTATCCCTGAGCGCCACGGCGGCGTCGGCTCATCCGCCCGCACCGCCCGCCCGCCATGCATTTGTTTTCTTCTGTATTTCGTC